GCGTAATCTCGAGTCACCGAGTTGGGTGGAGCCTGGCCTCGACTCACATACCCATCCAGTGTCATGATGGTGCGCGCTTGCGTTGTCTGGCCCGAGGAATTGAACGCCGTTACCATGGTGTCCACGGTCTCCGTTGTGATGTGGAATGAGTGCGGTATCGTACATTTTGCAGTCCGTTAACTTGTGTACATGTAGGACTAAAGTGCTGTGGGACCAGGAGAGGAGATCGGTAAAAAAAAAATTCCTTTGCCATTTTTTTTTGGTATGAAAGATGTTTTTCAGTGGCGGGATTATTGGTAGTGCAGTTTACATAACTAAAACCAACAAGCAGTTGTTTACTTTACTTACATTTACACATGCGTGTGGAACTGCGCCTCCTTCAAAAGGTCTTTAATAGCAAGAACTACAAATTGAAAAGGATAATTGATATTTAGCCAAGATTTCAATTGAGGACACAGTACAGACGACACTGGTTTCACGTGAAGACAAACACCTATCGGCATCGGCTTTAGAAGCCACTTGCTCGTCGTCTCTCCATGGACTTGGCGTTGTTCGTAGGTTGAACCGGCCACGCAGGTTCGTGAGCAGCATATTCTCGGGGTAAAACGAGGGAGTGCGGAGACTCAACCGGTTCGACGACCTTGTCCTCGTCATCGCCTTCGTAAATGGCTTCGTTCAGCACGTCGATTGTGAGTTCACCGGCGATCGAGGGCGAGGTTGGCATGAGGCCCAAAAAGTCCGAGTCGGTACTGGCGTTGCGAGAACGACTGCGCCAGCGCTGGTTGCAGGAGATCGGGACGATGGCGGCCATTATAAAGCTTATACGTTGGTAGACTTGAGCCGTAGCTGGTGATTTAAGGAGTGAAAACGCACAAGAGAGCTCAATGGTGTTCATGGTTTCTCCTCACTGCACAGCAGCTGCATGGCTGACGAATGCTCTGATGGAGAATAGGTACCAACGTCAGCGGCAGATGACAAGGCTGCAACCATATGCCAGCCGTGTAAGGATTGCCTGCTTCCTGCTCCTATGTTTCTTTAGATTATTAGAAGTGGTGGCAATTGCGAAATCTTACATTCACGTGGATAAGAAAAAATCGGGACGATTGTTAACCTTGAAGTTGTCAAGATTAGCGTTGACGCAAAGGATGGATGCTTTACCGTGATCCTTTACCGTAACTTAGACGTCGTCGTTAACTTTTGGGCTAGAAATGCCAATATATCGTGCAGTTTTTTTGTATTATTATTTATTGCTACAGTAATATTTTGAAGATCACTTTGGTCACATTATCAGACATTTTAATGAATTGCTAACTACGACGCTATCCATACATGTGGTGGGCTTGGTTATATTCTCCATGCTATTGGGGTATCCATTTACACAGCAGAACGCAACACAGGAACTTCGGATCTCGGGGTGCGGATGCTGGTATACGACGCGAGTGAGTCGCCCGATATCCGGTCATCCATGTTCTTGTGCTCTTCAAGCAGTTTACGTTTCTTATGGACAACCATCGCCACGCCAACAACTGCCCCCAAAGCGACACAGATCGCAGCAATGAGACCGACGATTGCTGCTGTCGAGTGGAGACCGCTACTACTACTCGCTTCTTCCCGAACGGAAGCCTCAGTAGCAGAAGGCGCTAAACCGGGCGTCGGCGCCGGCGTTGATGATGCAACTTGATGCGTGGAAGTATCCAACTGCTCACTTGACACCGACGCGCTCGCAGAATTATCCTCAATGTTGCTCGAAGTTGCATTGGTCGACACCGTCGCCGTGATTGACGTAGTGGCATCACGGTCCGCCGAATCGGAACTGGAAGACACAGACTGAACCACTAAGACTGTCTGGTTTGGTGTCGAGGTAGGAGTCGGAGTTGGTGTAGCTGTTGGTGCATTGGTTGGTTGTAAGGTGGGGTATTCCGTCAATGGGGCGGTCGTCACCAGGGTTGTTTTTGGCGCTTCAGTGACGGGTGCCGTGGTCGGTGGAGCCGTACTGGGGGCCTCGGTTGGAGGTGCGCTTGTGACTGGAGCTGTGGTTGGTGCCTCAGTCACAGGGGCCGTCGATGGTGGAGCCGTCGGTGGGGCCGTGGTCGGGGCCTCAGTGACCGGAGCTATTGGAGCTTCGGTTGGAGGTGCGGTTGTGACTGGAGCTATGGTTGGTGCTTCAGTCATAGGGGGTGCCGTTGGTGCCGTGGTGGGAGGTTCGGTTGTTGGCGCTGTTGTTGGAGCGGCGGTAGTTGGCGTCGGGGTAGTTGTCGGTGCTGCGGTTGTCGAAATCTTTGTCGTGGTGATTGTCGTTTGAGAAGCGTCGCTACTGGACGAGAACTGCTTGCTCCCTTCGGTACACTCGTCGGCTGATAAGGACAGCGTCTCCTCCAGCACCTCACCGTTCACACCTTTGATCGAGATGCTTATTGAGTTCAGATCCGCCACGCTCTCGCCACTGCCGTCGATCAAAAAGTAGTACGCAGAGTCGATCACAGAAGTCTCTTGGCCGTTGATAGACAGACTCTGCACGCCCGACACGCAGTTCGCAGGCTGCACCGCCACCCAAAACTCACTGCTGCCTGTCTTCAAGCAGTACTGCACGTTGTTCGAGATCGGACAATCCACGAACTTCCACTCGATGCTCAGCTTCGTGTACGACTGACCCGTGATGCTCTCGAACACGTCCGGAGACAGGTCCAGGTCGCCGTACGCACAACCCGGACACTGGTCCATGATGTACACGATCTCGGACTGACCCGAACACGACGCGTCGGTGCACGAGACTTCGGCGCATCGGCCGCAGTTCATGGTTTCCTCCCATTGTTCAGCGTTGAGTGCAGCGTACTTGGTGACGGCAGCTTCCGGCCAGTTCATGAAGTTGCAATTGCCACTGGAAGGTGAGCTGAGCGTGTAGACCGTGCCGTAGCCCTCATAGGTTGTCGAAGCCGATACCGTTGCAATTAGAAGTACACAAAGTGCATATTGAAGTGGAAATCGGTAGGTCGGCGCCATTTTTTCTTGTCAAACTTCACCGAGGCACAAGCCACTTGTGTATTGGCGCGCAAAAGGTGAAATGAATTGTGGTGAGAAGCGGCGAGCGGCACCACCGCCAGCTACGGTTTACCAGCTGTGCTAGCCGTCATAGGATCCGTGTGGTGAAGGTTTTACCTCACGGCGCTGTGGAAGCCGTTGACAATGGACACCGTCTCTAGCCGGTCGAGTGGCGTGCGTGCGTCGGGCGTGGGATCCAACTCGAGACGAGTGCCTGCGTGTGCTGCGAATGGGTGGCGCCGGCGGAAACGGCTCGGTTTATGGTCGATGCATCGCGCGACTTGCCTGTCACGCAACACGTCGATTTAACGCCGACTGATACGTTCCACCCAGTCAAAGTCTCCGGAAAGCGTAGCGATCAAGCGTGGGATGCATGCACGTGATCTGCGCTGGCGTAGGTCGACGGCGCCGCGATGCGGGGTGCAGTGGCATGTGCGACAAACAAAGTAGCTGGCGTGCTTACCTCGCTCGGATCGTAGTCGGACTACCCTGCACTACTGCTTATCGTTGGTTAGAGGGCGGTTTACAGAACGCCGCGTGCGTTAGAGCACTGGTTACAGTACCAGAGTTTATAACGGCGGAAATGGATCCGCCACGTCGCGCTTTTCGGTGATGCGTCACGTCTCAACTTCAGAAATCGCCGACACTTGACGAGCAGTTAATAGCGTTACTTCATGAGATCATACAAATATCAAGACTGTTTCAATGGTGTGGCGTACGTGTGCCAGTTAAACGTAAGTTTCAACATGACGATGTCCCGTCTGCAGCAGCATGATTGCTCATGCGATGGATTCGTACAGCACGAGTGCAGCCATCTTCCTTCCTGTAAGACCACCATCCACGCTCGGTCTACGAAGCTTCCTCACCCGTGCGTAGCCGTCTCCAACACTCACTCATCGCTGTGTCTTCAGCGTAGAAGTCACGAGTGTAGATGGCTTCGGCACGACGTTGAAGACAACCGAAGTTGCACGTACTACTGAAGTACAACAATGCTAGAAGATGAATATCTATTTATTTGATACCTACGCGGTCAAGGTGCAATAACGATACTCTGATGATCAAACTAGATGCTCGCAGAGCAGGACGGCTGAGGGGAGGCGGCTGCTGTGTATGGGAATGTCTGCTCGTTGATTAGGACGTTGGTGTGGTGGTCGCCTTCGGCCGAGTAGCGGCTTCCATCGTGGTGAGCGGGGAGCTTGTCCTGCTCCATTTGTGCGTTCAGTTGCTTCTTCTTCTTAGCTACGATGTACATGACCGCTATCACGATGATGAAGAGACAGCCAAAAACGGCCAGAACGCTCAAGACGATGGTTGGTCCAGCACCCGCGTCACTCGATCGGTTCGTGACAGAGGTCCCTGCAGACTCGACATTGTCGGGAGACGGTGAAGTGGTCGGAGATGCTGTTGTTCCAGCATCCAAGTTGTTTGTCGGAGAACTCGTTGGTGATACAGTCGAGCGTGTACTAGTTTGCGTCGCTGCATTGGTAGATACTTCGGACACTATTGGAGCTTCAGTCGGAGAATTCGTTGGTTGAGGAACCGTTGTTGTAATCTCAGTCGGAGCTTCAGATGGGACAATTGCCATTGCAGTTGTCAGCGGTGCGCTAGTTGGAGCCCCAGTCGGTTTTTCAGTGGGGGCTCCGGTCGTTGGTGGTTCCGTCGGCGCAATAGTCGGAGTTTCCGTCGTTCGGGTACTAATTGGAGCCTCAGACGGAGTTTTAGTTGGAACGCTCGTCGTTGGTAGTTTCGTGGTTGGTGCACTTGTCGGAGCTACAGTTGGGAT